GTTACAGCAGCTCTAGCAAGCTATGACAACAAACAACCCAATTTTTCAAAGGGGCTAATAACTTGAATAGGCGTTTCACTGAAAAAGACATACAAATTGATAATAAACACACACCAAAAAAAGGGCTCAATGTTAGTCATTACAGAAATACACATTAAACGACAGTGAGAAGACGCCAGTTCAGTCCCACTAGGATGGCTATAGTAAAAATGAGGAACAATCCCAGAAAGCTATTTTGTGGATATCAAAAAACTGATCCTAAAGGCAACGTGGAAAGGCAAAAGACCCAAAATAGCCAACACGGTATTAAAGGAGAACAGTCAGGTAGGTGATACCACCCAACCTCAAGGCTTAACTACACAGCCACAGTAATCACACAGTGCGGTGTTGGCAAAGAATGACAGAGAGATGAGTGGAACAGAGAGCTCAGGAATAGGCCCACGCAAACAGTGAACTGATTTTTGACATAGGAGCAAAGGCAATTCAATGAAGAAGGTTTTTTTGCTGTTGTTCTTTTTGCAAGAAGTGGTACTGGGACAACTGGACATCAACGTGCAAAAAGAATGAATACAGATGCCCCTTGACCTACCTACCCACTGTAAGTTAAAAATATAAGTCAAAATGTACTTGACACCTAATCTACCGAACATCATATAGCTTAGCCTAGCATACCTTAAACGTGCTCAGAACACTTACATTAGCCATGAATTGGGCAAAATCATCTAACATCTATTTTATAATAAAGTGTTAAGTATCTCATGTAATTTATTATGTATATTGTTTTCACCCCATTGTAAAGTCAAAAAATCATTAAGTCAGCGATTATAAGTCAGGGACCACGTGTATAGACATACATCTTACACCTTTCACAAAGAGTAAAATGCATCATACACCTAAATGCAAAACTGTAAAACTCCTAGGAGATAGTATAGGAGAAAACCTAGGGACCTTGGATTTGGTGATGAGTTTTTAGATATGATACCAAAAGCACAATCCATGAAAGAAAAAATTGAAAAGTTAGACTTCATTAATATGAAAAACATCGCTCTGAAAGACATGATTAAGGAAATGAAAAGACAAGCCACAGACTGGCAGAAAATTCTCTGCAAAACCCACTTCTGATGGATTGGTATTCAAAATATACAAAACAACAAGAAAAAAAATTAAAAATGGATACAGATCTGAGCAGATACCTCACCAAAGAAGATATACTTACAATAAATATGAAAAGATGCTTTACATCATATATCCTCAGGGAACTGCAAATTACAACAATGAGATACCACTACACACCTATTAGAATAGCTAAAGTCTCAAACTCTGACAACACCAAATGCTAATGAGGATGTGGAGCAACAGGAACTCTCATTGCTCATGGGAATATAAAATGGTACTGCCAGTTTGAAAAACAGACGGGCAATTCCTTACACATCTGAAAACATAATAGTACCATACTCTTCAACGATCATGCTCCCAGGTATTGACAGAAAGAGTTGAAAACTATGCACAAAAACCTGCACAAGAACACTTATATCTTTATTTGTGATCACCAAAACTCAGAAGCCATTGAGAAGTCCTTCAACAGATGAGTGGATCAGCTGTAGCACTTTCAAACAATGGAATAGTAGTGCTAGAAAGAAATGAGCTCTCAAGCTATGAATAGGCATGGAGGAACTTTTAAATGCATGTTACTAAGTGAAAGTAGCCGATCTGAAAAGGCTACTACATACAGCATAATTTCAACAATAAGACATCTCCTGAAGGAAAAACTACGGAGACAGTAAAAAGATCAGTGATCGCCAGGGGTTTGGGGAGGGGTCCACAGGGAGAAGGGGAGAAATGAGTATGCAATACACAAAGGACTTGTATGTAATGAAATTATTCCTATACTGTAGCGGTGGACACATTTCATTGTAGATTTGTCAAAACCCAAGGAATGTACGCCACCAAGAGCTGAACCCTAATGAAAACTATGGACTTCAGTTAGTCATAATGTATCAATTCTTTCATCAGTTTAACACACATGCTTGCACTAATACAAGCTGTCAATGGTAGAGAAAATGGAGGGGAGGGAGGTGGCTGATGGCCGTGAAGAGGAAACCACAGGCCCCAAATGGCAGCACCCGTGCTAAAAGCCCATGAGAGCAAACTTAGATTTAATACCTGATCTAATTGCAGCCTCAGCCTCTCCAAGAAACATAGTCTTAATCGCCCAGTCTGGAATTTTCTGATCAAGCACCGGAAAGGTCATCTGTCACACGGGCCCTCCCCATCCCCCACAGGAGGAGAGGCGGCCTGCATGATACCCGCCCTTCTCCTCTCTTCCCCCAGAGAAAAGGTGTCTGGGGCTCAGAAACAATCCTTTCTTTTCTTTTGATACTATTTCCTTGCCTCACCCTTTTCCTATAAAAACCTTCCATTTTGTCCAACTTCTCCAAGCACACTTCTCATTGCTAGATGGGAGGCTACCTTCATGAATCACTTAATAAAGCCAAATAGATTTCAGATTTACTCAGATGAATTTTGTGTAACAATGGGAACTCTATTTTTTTTTTTTTTGCTCTATTTTTCTATGAACCTAAAACTGCTCTTAAAAATAAAATCTACTAAACTCTTTAAAGGACAGACAATGCCAAGAATTTGCAAAGAAGCAGAGGAACTAGAATTCCCGTGCACTGCTGGAGGGAATGCAACGCGGCAGAGTGGAGGTGGGTACGTGGCACACAGCCACCATCAGTCAGAGCAGCAGGAACTGTCAAGGAGGCGATAAGATCACCATCCCCCTCACATCGGACTTACGGCTTAAAACCGGCAGAGACCAGTTTGATCCAACATGGTGACATAGTTCACCTAACAGTCACCCCAGCCTTATTACAAGCTCATTGTAATATGTTATCATACTAATCAACACACCTGGCACCTGTCATGGTCAGAAATGAAAATTCTACATAGAAGGACTCAAATTGGCCAACAGAGCCCCTCTGAGAAATCCCCACCCCTTTTCCAGGAAGGTCCTGAATATTTCTCACCCTTATTGATTACTCTACACCTCCCTTAATTCAAGGAACCTCAATAAAGGAAGCGAATTCCGCTAAAGGGGTCAGGGAAGGGCCTTCTCTGGGGAACAGCCCATGCTGTCTCTGCTTCGCTGATAAACTCACTTCCACTTTAAACTCTGTGCTCGCTATAGTTTGAATTCTTTCCTGCACAAGGCCAAGAACCCACAGTGGGTCCTGGACCCTCGGGCCGCTGGACCCCCACAACAGCTATATCACAGCTACTTTGGGAGACACTTTGGCGGTTTCTTAGGATGTTAAACATAAACTTATCATTCAATCCAACAATTCAACTCCTAGGACTCTACCAAGAGAAATGAAATAAACATACACACACACACAGACTGTTCAAAGCCGTTCCCAGCATCCTTAGTCAGAATAGCCAAAACCAGAGCCAACCCAAATACTCATCAACTAATGAACGGATGAGCAAACGGTGTTCTATCCACACAATGGACTATTGTTTGGTCGTAAAAAGGAATGAAGTCCTGGAAAATGCTACCACGTGGATAAACTTCAAAAACGTTCTCCTAAGTGAAAAAAGATAGCCACAAAAGACTATGTATGATTTCCTTTGCATGAAATGTTCAGAGAAGGCAAAGTTCACACACCCAGAAAGCAGGTCAGCGGGCTGCCTGGGGCTGGCCAGGGACCGACCGCAGAACAGGCCCCCGGTAACTTGGGGAATTAATGGAAAGGTTCTAAAGCTGGACTGCAGCGATGGTGGCACAACTCTGAATTTACTTAAAATCATTAAATTATTACCTTAAAATGCATGGATTTTATGGTATGTAAATTATAACTCAATAAAAGTATAAAAAATAAAAATAAGGCCCATGGAAAACATGAATTAAGAATCACATCAACACAGACAGGCAGAAAGACAATGGCGTGCAGACACACAAACTCACAGGCCTCTGCCGCCTGCCGGCTGCTGGCACCGCCGGCCCGGGCAAAGCGAGCGGCAATGGAGCGCCGTCCACCGGAGGGGAGGCAAGCTTAACTCCTTGAGAACCGGAAAGCTGTTCCCAACCATTATCAGTGGTCAGGAGAAAAAAATATGAACAGTGTCCTAACACCATCCTGACAAAAGCAGCAATAGATTCTGTAAGATAGTTCCTGTTAATGCTGCAGGAGAGCAACTACGGGCGTGCCAACGAAACGCAGCCCGGAGGGAGCCCGCTCTGCTGAGGCGAGGCGCGTGCGTTCCAAGCACGTCTTCTGAAAGCCCAGCTAGATTCCAAGGAAAATTCTAGAATATGGAGGGAACTAGACAGTATGCCCAGAGTCCTGCGGGAAAGCCCCCACAGGTACAATTTCTCTCAGTGGGTTATTTATCTATCTATTTATTTATTTATTTTGAGTGCCAGTGCTCTGTGTTGCTAGTTGAGCCCACACACCCTATGCAGAGCCGTGTAGGGGACGCTGTGTAAGGGGTGCATTGCTAAAGAGGTCACTCAACGCCAGATGCAAAGAAGACAGGGGACTTCAAATCCTGCATATAATATGAGGCTTCAGCATTTTCTTTTTTATGCCATGCCTTGAAAATTTCACATAATTCAAATCTGCTCTAAATGGGACCTGACCTTTCATGCTCAAAGGGGCAGAAAATTCAAGTCGCTGTATAGTCTGGGTTGGCTCACTCCCTCTCAGGAATGCCCTTGTGCACTGGCCCCAGAGTGGAGCTGCTGCGGAGCTCCTGGCCGGGCAGGGCGCCGGTTGGTGTGTGGCCCTGCTCAAAAGGAACAAGGAAGGAAGAGGGCCTGAGAGCTTACACTGGTGCGATGCTTCAGTGCTCTGTGAATCCGCACTCATCTTTTGGGTTGTTGGAGTTGCAGAAGGCAAGGGGAGTCACTCGTGAATACAAGTGGAGCTGATATGAGCACATGGTTTGGGTGTTCACTGCGAAGCCACAGGAAGGGCAGGTGCATTGGTGGTACTCACACAGATGCTCTCAAAGAGCTGGAAGATGATGTAAATGGGCAAGACCTTGCTCACCAGGGCAATGGCTTCTCTGCAGAAGAAACAGGGGAGAGCATTCTTAGAGACCCAGTCATATCCCTTTATTACACCACCTCCCCAGAATGTTGGGAATAGAGGTCGCTGCCCCATGCACACCCAGCACCCCTAGCCCCGAGTTGCTGCACGTCTGTTGGTCCCCCTAAGCTCCAGAAGAGCCCTAGTTTTGTGCTGCCTTTCGGTCAGCATCTTGTCTCTGGACGAGCAAGTGGTAGAGGCCATGGCCTGGGGCACAAGCACAGGCACTGGTTCCTCTCCATGAAGACAATGCCAGGGCCGAGCCAGGCATGTGACAAATCTCTGAGGACTGAGGGCTGGCGGCAGGCCGCTCTGACATCTCCCAGAAGTCAGTGAAGAAAACAGATTACCTACTCATCATTGGTAAAAATATAACCCAATTTATTTTTCAGGATGCTCAACAGGGCGCTGATAACCAGCCACATGCCAACTGAAAGAGACAAAGGAAGAGCATTTTGGCTAAACGCAACCCACGAGGGTGGGGGGTCCCTGCTCAGGTCAGCGCCAGTCAGCCCCACCTTCCACACCCACACGCCCAACATCCCCTGCATTAGAGTAATTCACTTGGACTTTCTGCCGTCCTGTAGAAAGGACTGCATATGAAATGCCTGTCCTGTCCTGGCTGGTGTGGCTCCGTTGGTTGGAGCATCATCCCATGAACCAAAAGGTTGTGGGTTCAATTCCTGGTCAGGGCACATTCCAGGTTGTGGGTTCCATCCCTGGTCAGGGTGCATACGACTGTACCCTGGTTGGAGTTTGGATGAGAAGGCAACCAATTGGTGTTTCTCTCTCACACCAATGTTTCTCCCTTTCTCTTTCTCCCCCATTCCCCTGCCCTTTTCCCTCTGTCTAAAAGCAATGAAAAAAATATCCTTGGGTGAGGATTTTTAAAAAGTGTTAAATTTCCTTTTCTCCCATGGTTCTCTAAGTAGGGTTTCCTGGACCAGCAGGAACAGGACTACCTGGTAACATGTTAGAAATGCAGTTTCAGACCTCCTGTCTCCAACCTACTGAACCAGAAGCCCTGCCCGGCGAGGCCAGGCAACCGACGGGTTTTTGCCCTGGCCTCCAGGGGGTTGCAGGGCACGCGGAAGCCCCAGAACCACTGCTCTCCACCGAGGAGCTGGTCTGGACCCGTCAGCCTCAGGAAGCAGACCCTTGGCGGAGGGCACATGACTGGCTCCTTCTGAGGGTGGGATATGCAGGCCCCACTCTCCTGGGGATGCTGGGAGGGCAAGCTTGCAGGGGACCCTGGGCAGCCGCAGGGCATAGCCGGGAAGGAAGTGCCTTCACAGGGTCACACTAAAGGGAGTGGCAGCAAGCTACCCCTGGAAGGCCCCAGGAACCCCAGCAGCAGAGAAGGAGAGAAGAGGCATGGCAGGCAAGGGAGGTGTTTGCTGCTGACGGGGTCAGGGCAGGAGGCACCGGCACCTCACCAGCGGGGCCTGCTCGGGGCCAGAGGGCAGGTATGGCAGGTTTGGGAAGTAAGCCTGTCCACTCCCTGGGCCAGCCCTGCCTCCCACATGCCAGGCCCCTCCCAGCCCAGGCGCCTGACTTTCCAGCCTTCTGAGCCTCGCCCCCACCCAAGAGGGGATTCCACCCACCTGTGCAGAGCACGCCTGAGACTGCCGATCGCTTCGCTTGCACGGCGTCTGAAGCTCCCAGGGACGTCCCTACTCGGACACAGACCGAGATGCTGAGCCCCATTGGAATCTGGGATCGGGAGAAGGAGGTGCTGTGAGTGGAGCCCGCCTCTGCCCGACAGCAGGCGACTGCTGCGCCGGAAGGCCCGAAGGCCCGGGCCCCGAGGCTGGAGGGCAGGAAGGCAGCGTGAGCCTGGGAAGCCGCGGGAGAGGAGAGGGCGCCTGTGACTGCTGGAAACGGGGTGGCCTCTGAGGTTGGGCAATGGGGTAGGGATACCCCACGTGAGCTGGCCACCCCCACATCGGCTCCATCGAACATCACAGGCAGACTGGCCTTGCAGTCAAATCGCTGTGTTTCCGGAGCCTCGTGAGTAAATGAATTTTTAAAAGAATATGGCCCTAACTGTACCAGAAAAGCTCCCCGTAAGGAAAAAAAAAAAATCAGTGAAAACCAACTGTAAAAATAAGTATCACCTTATAAATTAGTTTCATAACTGTAGATGTGTGTGAATCCTTTGCTTAAACCGGGGTCGCAGGAGGCACGCTCCAGCGCCTGGCAGATGTGTGCGTGAGTGACGGCGCTGCTGCGCGGAAAGGGGGCGGGACTGCGCGGTGGGGGAGGGCAATGCCCCTCACCAGGGCGCTGCTGTCACCCAGTTCTCTCCAAAGGGGGTTCAGGAACACGAGGCCACCACCAAACAGAATGCCCCATTTTCCAAGAAAATGCAAAAATCCAGATAAATGATGTGACATCTCCCAATTTTTAAATGGAGTCAATGAACTCAAAAAAATGTTGGCATCATTTGAGTTCAGTATTACCCGCAGGATGGAGCTGCGGGTCGCCCGCGTGTGAGTCTCGCAGGGCCGGGCCTGCCGGGCGGGCACTGGGAGTCGGAGGGCCCCCCAGGAGTGACAGCCTGCCCCCTCCCACGACGCCCCCAGGGCAGTGGCGGGCGCAGGCCGCAGCGGCGGGCGCGGCCAGGGCGGCGCAGAGCCTCACCATGTAGATGACGGTGGCCACCTCGTAGATGATGGCCTGCACCGAGAGGTCCAGCACGCCGCGCAGGCCTGCGGGAGAGAGCAAGGGGCCCTGGGCTGGCGGAGCGCCCCTCCGCCTGGGTGGCCGAGGGTGAATGATTTCGAAGGGCAGATTCAGAACGAAAATGGTCCTGCTTGGCCTGCCGCCTTCCGGGAAGACCCTGCCCAGTTACGGAGTTGCCCGGAGGCCGTTTCCCTGGAGGTCTGTCTTTCAAGCCGAGCTCCTTGAAGGCTGTGGCGCGGCGTGAAAAAGAGAGCTGGACGGGGCCAGGGAGCCCCTGTTCAGGGCTCCGCTCTGCCGCCGTGTGACTGAGGGCGGTCTCTCTTGTTTTGGGGTTTGGTTTTCCTGTCTGTAAACGGGGCGCGTTTGGAGGGGAAGGCCTCCAGCCAATGGCAGCGCTGGCCTTCGGATGCTCAAGCGGGCCGGACGCGGCGCCAGGTGCCCACAGCTGCCCCGCCCGCTCATGCTCGTGCGCGGGTCCCTTCAACCTTCCCTCCTCCACGGCCTCGACCACCTCCGCTGGGGCGCCGGGCAGTGCCTTCTGGGAGCTCACAGATGGAGGGCGAGAGGAGTGAGCGGAGGACCTGGCCTGGGCCGGGCCGGTCCCCGGAGGGGGCCTCAGAGCTGGGTGCGCCGCCCACACGGTCCCCCGGCCCTGCTTGTTTGTCCACATACCCATGAGGAAGCTCCCGATCTCGTAGGCCCACCACTCGATGCACAGCATGAGCATGCTGGGGACGGCCAGGCGGAAGAAGGGACCCCAGTCCTGCAGGCACTGGGCGGACCAGCCTGGGAGCAGAAGCCCTGAGAGCTGAGCAGCAGCACCTCCCCCGGACCCGGCCTTCCCTCTGCCGGGGCCTCTGATGGTCCCTGGCTCTGCCCCATCCTGGGCTCAGCTCAGCAGGTCCAGGCACTTGGTGTTTTACAACAGGGCGCGCCAGCAGGTCTAGTGCAGGGGCGGAGGGCGGAGGAGGACGGGGGCAGGGCACCAGCTCTCTTGGCCTCAGGACGCGAGCCTCAGGCACCGCAGGGCTTCCCCGGGGCCTGTGACACCACGGGATCGTGGGCAAGGACGCTGCCCTTCCTGAGCTCTGTTTCCTCATCTGAAAATTTGAGTTCTTATCTTTGCCCTGCCTCCCCGGAAGGGTTGTTGGGAGGATGGCTGGAGCTCAAGGGTGTGGAAGGGTAAGCGAGGGAGAGAACCGTGCAGACTGCAGAGGCCGGGGCCCCACCGCGCTCCCTGGGGGCCCCAGGGCTGCCCCCGCACCGCCTGGAAATGGAGCCCAGAGGCTCCAGAGCCAGGCCTTGGGAGGCAGGAAGGCTCCAAGCCGGAAGCCTGGGAGGAGGCCGGCAAGGAGTCCAGCCCCCACCAGGCACCATCTTTAGCATTTGGGGCAAATTACTTTAACCTTTCTCTGTCTCAATCTCCTCCATATAAATAAAATGGAATAATAAGGTGTTGTGAAGTTAATTGAGGACAGGAATGCCAGGAACTTGGCCCATAGCTAACACCTGGGATTTTACCTGTGTTCTTACTCTAATCCCCACCCAGGAATGAAGGAGCCAGCAGAAAGCTCACTGGACCTGTCTCCAGAAGGGCTCCACACCGTGGGACGCGGCATGAGGGGTCCTCGGGACTTTGGGGTGGGAGTTCTGAGGGGTGGAGCGAAGGGAAGGGGGCCCTGAAGGAAACAGGGGCAGGCGGGGCGGGGCTCCTCCCATGGGGCTCCAGCTGAACCCTCCACCTGCCAAAGGAACGCCCTGGGCCCCGCCGGCCCGCCAGATGCCGCCTGCTCAGCCCAGGGCGCAGGGCGGCCTCCCCACCTGCCCACGTGGCTGCATGCAGCTCTCTCAGCACAATGTAGAAGAACAGGAAGGCGGTCTGCACAAAGTGGGCGATGGTGCTGGCGTAAGCAGAGCCCCTGGGGAAGCCGGGAGAGTGGGGCTGGAGCTGGGCTGGTGCTGGCGCCCCCAGGGCCCGAAGTGGTGCCGGCAGGACTCACTTGGCTGCCGATGCTGCCGGCACCACTGCCGCCCTCCCTGCCCGCACCCACTCTCTGCCTCTCCTAGAAAGCAGGGGCAAGGTTGGGGAGAGGCCCCTCTCCTTTCTCTTGAGGGAGTCCCCATCAAGCTCCTCAGGACACCCCACTTCTGGACAGTGCAAGCAGCCTCCACCGTCTTTGCCATGAGAGAGGCAAGGGTGATAACTGGCTTGCCCCAGCGAGGGGCGGGGAACTGGGTGGGCAGCACCCCCGACGAGGCCCCCGCAGTCCACCAGCCTCACCTGATCCCCAGGCTCAGCGCAGAAACCAGGACGTAGTTGGCTAAGCCATTGATGCAGTTGCCCACAATGCCGCTGAGGACTTGGGGCCAGACTATTCCCTGAAATAAATGAAAACTGGCCTTGCTATGAGGTGGGCAGGACTAAGGGGGTGTGGACGAGCATGTCCATATCTCAGGGACATGCAGCCCCTCCCTGGCCCCTATCTGTGAGGCCAGGGGTGGGCACTGCGGAGTTACAGGTGGTGCAGAGAGGGAGAGAGCCCCAGCGCCCCTCCCCCTTGGAATGGCGCGGGGTGCTGGTTGCCCCTCCAGCCAGGAACCTGTACCTGATTTTGCAAATATTTTGCCAGCAGGTTGTAAAGAAAAACCACCTGTATAAAATAAAACACACACACACACACACACACACAAATAAACAACTACCAAAAAACAACCAGATGAACATTAACAGATATTTAGATATCACAGTTTGGGGGCACGTACATCTCAGACCCAACAGGCAGCCTTCACCGGCATGCGTGCACTGGGCCTACCCATGGGAGAGAGATCGCACAGGGCCCCGCTGGGCCACAGGGGAAGGCAAACGGCCCGGAGCGCTGGCTCCGAGAGAGCCCGCACTTCAGAGGCCTCTTCAGGAGGCAGGACCTGGCAGGGTTTCCAGCTGCCACTCCAGGCCTTCCATCAGCCCAGGAGGGCTGCCCTGGGCCTGCACACAGGACACGCCAGACCCCAAACCCACAGGCTGTGACCACGCCAGGGCCTGGCTCTGGTTGCTACACAGACAGGGACCTGGAGGGACTGAAGTGGGCAGGGCCTCCCCTGTCTGTGGAACACAGGGGTGTGCATGTCTGAGACGGGGGGCCGCACCCAGGGCCACTGTGGCCGCCCCGCCTGCCCTCTGTCAAAGCCTGGCCCGGAGCCTGTGCCTTCCCACCCGCTCCCTTCCCTTAGCCCTCTGCTTCTTTTTTAGAGAGCACAGGGGTTAAGAGCACAAGCTAGAACTACACTGCCTGGATTTCAACACTGGCTCTACCTCTTAGGAGCTGTGTGATTCCGAGAAAATTACATAACCCCTCTTGCCTGATTCCTCATCTGTAATGAGTATAATAATGGGTGTGTGCACTTACTATTTTTATAGATACGTTATATATACACTATATATATAATATATATACATGCAAATTGCTCACGAAACAGTATTTGGCCTATTTAAACATTCCAAATGTTAGGTAAGCATTGTGTATGTATTTTTATTATTGATCAAATTTTGCCGTTGCATTTTGTGGGAGGGACTTGTTTCATCTCATAACTCATAAAGAAGTTACCACAGTGCTAACTTTATAAGGTGTTTTCCTGACCTGGCCCATTGGCCCTGTTGGACAGGTACCATCACCTCAGTCTGAAGAGTGAACATGTGGTTTCCATGGAGCTGGCCAGGCCCCAAAGAGGTCAGGGCACTGGCCTTTCACTGTGGGTATGGCCAGAGCACACCCTGCCAGACCTGGGCATGCTTTAACGCAACTTGAAGCCACCTGACCCATTCCCTTCCCAGCTCTGTCCTCTAGAACTTCGCTCCCTGGTGCCATGGAGGATAAAGGGGTGCTGCAGTGCCAGAGCCTGGAAGGCAACTCCAGCTGGCAGGGCCATGCCTGATTCAGAACTGCCAGGGAGTAAGCAGCATGTCACTAAGTTTTGATAAATCTGATAGTGGAGCTGTGGATTCCAGAGCAGATATACAGACCACTGGCTCAGGCCGGAAGTCTCAGGAACTGCCCCAAGTGGACACTGTTGTTTAGTACTCTGTACCATTCATGGAGAAAAGGAAGAAGGGAATAGCCAATAATTAGTGTTTGAAAAAATTCATTAAATGGATTAAAGTCTTAGATATGAAAATGGAAACCACAAAAGGATTCAAAGAGAATATAGCAAATGTTAGGTAACTTTGATATGGGTGAAGTGTTTTTAAGCTCATCAAAGACAGATATTATAAAGAATAAGATTTATGGATCTGTTATGTATACATTAAACATTTTTTAAGTCAAATATATCAAAAAATTAAAAGGCAAGTGACACACTGAAAAGTGTTTGCAACATATATGACAAAAGGTTAAGCTATTATTTAACAAGTTATTATAATTAGAAAAAGATTAACCCACTAAAATAAGCGAAGGGTATAAACAATTCACAGGAGAAAAACAAATGATCGAGAAATGCATGAAAAAAGTGTTCAACTTCATTGGCAATAAAATACATGTTAAAACTATTTCTAATTGGAAAAAATTAATAATGCTCTGCTGATGAGGGAGTTGCTAGTGGAAGTGAAACTGGTACAAATTGGTATCAAAAGCCATTGATAGAATAACTGTAACCCCAATAATGTATCTTGAGGAAATCATTACAAGTGTTCACAACATTTTTCTATTAAGAATGTTTAACAAGTCTTATTTATAATAGCGACTATTGGAAACAACCTGAATATCTAACATGTAGAGATTGGTTAATAAATTATGGTACTGTGGGATACTGTGTATCTTTTAAATGGCTGTTGTGCAAGGCTATTTAATCATATCAAGAGTCTAATGACATATTTGAAAGGGGAAAAGCTGATTATAATGCAATAGGCACACAATGGCCTCATTTCCAACTACGTGCGCTTGAAGCCACACACTCATGAATGGACGTAAGCCTGGAAAGAGAACCAATGTTCTCTCTGGGTAGTAGGCTTATAGATGATTGGAAATTTTTCTTCCCCAGGCTTTCTGCAATTTCTTCAATAAATGGTTTTCTAACCAGAAAAACACATTCTGTTACTTTTTAAAAGCCCAGTCTGCACGGGCGGGAAGGGGAACTTCTCTTGCACCCCTTCAAGCATCCTCAGCGCACAGGGCCAGTGCTGTGGGCCAGGCGCCTCCCCAGCGGGCAGCGTGGAAGGACAGGAAGCCAGAACCCGCAGAGGGTGCGTGCACCGCGGCCAGGCTCACAGGCAGCGCGCTTACCGGAAGTGATGGTATGGCGATCAGCACGTACTCCTGGGTCAGCCTGCAAGAGGAGCAGAAGCTGACCGGCTGTGCCTTCCTCTGCGGGCACGTCCTGGGAACCCCGGGTTTGAGGAGGGGTTCCCTAGGCCCTGCCGGCCTCGGCCCGCACCCGGGAGCTTCAGTCAGTAGTAGAGAACGTGCCAGGAGGAGGAAGCCGAGGACCCAACTGCGGGGACCTCGTGACTAGGGAACTTAAATTTGGAGCAATACGTGGTCTGTAAGGGGGTACAAAAGTTCCCTCTTATCAAGAAATAACCAAATGAAGTGCACCTAATTTAAAATGAACAAGGCATTCCTCGGAGGGGCCTTTCTAAAGTTAATAATAAACTGTGTAATTCATCAGAAATTGGTTCGGTCCCCTTTCTTCTTTTTGGAATGTGGGGTAGTGCACATGTCATTTCTTCAAAAGCATCGGTGAAGTTCCAAAAGTGCTGGGACACAATCGCAAAGACCATGCAAATCCCTGTCTTTCTCTTTGCTCCTGAATTAAAACTAGCAGTTCGTCTGCCCCCTGCTAGTCACTGCTGGAGCCCCACGCTGCGTGGAGGGATCCCCAAATCTAAGCTGGAACCGCCCTGCGCTTGCGACTGCTTGCCGGTCCTGTGGAGGGGCCTTCCTTTCAGGGCTCCTTCCCTGGCTTCCCAGCAGGAGCGACGCGGTACCTGGACACGTCCCGGTCCTGCCCGAGGAGCAGCAGGATCTGCTGGGTGTTGAGGAAGAGCGCCCAGCAGGGGAAGCAGCAGAGAAGCAGGAGCAGCGCGCCCCTCTGCAGGAGGACGCCCACGTGCGTCTTGTTGGGGCTGCCGAAGCTCTGCAAAACAGCAGCCTCGATTCAGCGACTCCCTGCCCCGGTGCTCGGCAGCCCCAACAAGACGCACGTGGGCGTCAGAAAAAATGTTTCAGCTCGGTCAGAAAAAAATGTACCTAAAGCCATTTTTCTTTGGCAATAAAAAGGGCAGAGGGCCCGTTCTTCCCCTGCAAGAGCCTCTTTGGGGAGATCTGTAGGTTCCCGCATCAATGGACCTCACCTGTCATCACCCGCGTGTCCCCCTGGCGCCCACCTGAGGGTGAGGTCGGAGCCGCGGGACAGGCCGTGCGCAGTAGGCGCCGCGCACCGTCCTCAGAGCGGACGTTTGGCAGCCTCTGCAGGGGTTCAGCCGGCCCGCAGGATTACAGTGGCGGCTATTTACTGAGTGCCAGCCTCTGTCTGCCCATTGTCCCCGGTTCTCCAAAGGCGCCTGGTGAGGAAAGCGTTATTTCCCCCACATCACAGCGGAGGCGAGCGAGGCTCCGAGAGCATTTGGCAAGTCACTCTGCTAGGAAGTGATAGCCAGGCCCGACCCAGGTCCTCAGGTCCACCGTGAGCCGAGAACTCTGGGTTCCCGAGGGCGGGTGCCCCACGTGTGCACCCTCAGCATTTAACCAGGGCAGGCAGCTGTCTCCCCCTGCTCCCAGGCCTCTCTTGCCTGCCTGTCCAGACTCTTTCAGAGGGGAGGGCCCGGTTTCCGGACGACGCCTAGCCATGGGGGGCTGGGCCCTGGGGGAGGAGAAGACAGCTGTTTTCCCTCCCCACCCCCCCCCCCGCCCCGCCCGGGTCTGTGTGTCAGGCCCCCAGCTCCAGGGGGTACTGAGGGGCTTTGGGGGACCCCCATCCCCCACCATTTCTGCAGCAGGTGAGCGTCCGCTCTGGCCCTGCCCAGCTCCAGGAGGCTCACCTACCTGGGACATCAAGGTGTCACATGCTGAGGAAAAGCCGAATCCTACGGAAACTCCGAAGACATTGATAATCTGCAGCCACACAGGAGAAAACACAGGGGTCGTCAGGTGGAGCCCAAGGAGGCCACCCAGCGCAGCTCTGATGTGCAGCTGGGCCAGACACCCGCTTCTGCTGGGGTCCTGCCCGCGCCCGCTGGGTCCCGCCTGGCGAGGGGCTCCGGTCCCAGCTGCGAATGCAGCCGCCAGCCCTCCTGCGGCGTTTTCTCCCTGGAAGCCCAGGGGAGAAGCCTGGGAGGGACAGTCCTACTCAGTCGTGGCTGCACTCACGGCCACTGCCAGGATCACCGACGCCAGCTCCACTTTGCCCAGGCGCCCGCAGAACACTGAGCTCACGACGTGGATCATGAAGTGCAGTATCTGGAAAAGGACCTGGGGAGAGCAGCCTGGGTCGGGGCACCGCTCCGCTGCGCCTGGCGCGCCGGCCGCCCGCCGTCACGGGCCAGCCCCCAGTCACACCAGCGCCCGCAACAAACGCGCAAAGCTGTCGGGCAGGCCGCCCAAGCACGTGGCTGAGGCTGACACGGTGGCCAGGGCCCGGCGGTCCGGAGACGGGAGTGCTGGCCTCCCGCGTAGCGGCCGCTCCCTGCCTGAGCCTCAACAGGACCTCAACGCGGGGAGTCCGTCCTGCTATTAATGTCATTACTATAGTCATTTGGCCAGGCCACGTATAACTAAAGAAGAGAAGGGATAAAATCCATCAAAATCTTAGCAGTGGCTCTGTCTGGGTGGTGAGATTGGCGATGAATTTCTTTCTTCTTTACAACTTTTTTTGTTTTGTCTGAAGCCTTTACAGGAAGCACATATCTATTAGCTTTTGTGGTCAGAAAAAAATGTACCTAAAGCCATTTTTCTTTGGCAATAAAAAGGGCAGAGGGCCCGTTCTTCCCCTGCAAGAGCCTCTTTGGGGAGATCTGTAGGTTCCCACATCAATGGACCTCACCTGTCATCATGAGACATTTCAACCCAGCCTTCCTGTGGGTTTTAGAAGGACACACCTGTCCCTGCTGAGCATGGCCAGGCCCCACAGCTACCCGGGCACTGTCCAGGGACAGTTGCCCTGCCCTGAGCGGCAGCCCTGGGTGCAGCCTGAACACAGCCAACGTGGGAAGTTCCTGGGGCAGGGCCGTGAGCCGCCCCTGCACACCCCAGGTCCTGCCTGGGCAGCAGCTGGCCCCCAGCCTCACAGTCCCTTGCCTCCGCCTCCTTACCAGGGGTCCAGACAGGACAAGGAGCTTCCACGCCTCAGCCCTAAAGCCGACGGGGACCAGCCTGCAGAGGGCAGGGCCCCGGCCCCCTTGGTCCAGGGGAGCTGTGTCCTGGAGACTGTCCATTCCAAGCCCGGCCACTTGCTGGCCGCCCGCACGCCGCAGTGCTCCCACAGGCAGCCCCGGCCAGCAGGCAGCCAGCACCCTGGCTAATGAGTAAGTGTGGGGGGCAGGGGCGGAGGGTCTGCCTCAGAGGGTTGTGGGATCCGCCTTGCTGCCCGCTGGCCCCGGCCACAGGGGTGGACAGGACAGAGCTCTGGCCATGTGGGAGTCACCAGGCCGATGCTTATGGGTGTCTTGTGCCTGCTCTCCCCAAGGGTCAGCAGCAAACCCAGGAGGGGAAGGGTAGGGGCAGTGCAGAGGGCGCTGGGCCACGCAGGGGCTGGGCTGGGACACAGAGAGTCTTACACCTTGGCATGATCGTGCCCAGATAGCTCCCATTCACAGACGAAGAAAGGGAGACTCCAAGAGCCAGGCAGCCGATGCCAGGTTCCATACAAGGGGGCGCCTTAAGAACCCTGCCCTGGCGGGGTGCAGTTGCGGGGCAGGACCTAGGACCCCTTGGGAGAGACCCCTAGCCCTCCCTCGCCAGCACCCCTTTGGGCAGCAACCCTGAGAGCAGTGGCCCTGCTCAAGCAATCGGCCCGCCCCTCTCACCGTCCACTTTGCCCAGGGCGACTGTCGCTAGGCCTCCCACCAGGTTCCTGTCTGGCCCACCTGGTCTGCCCTCTCAACTCTTCTGTGTGGCGTTGGGCTGCAACCCACCAAGGACAAGCAGGACAGGGCAGCCACGGGAAGCTCATAACCGCCACCGCTTCACTGGGTCCTGGATCGAGCTCGAGTGTGCGCTGAGCTGGAAGGAGTGGGGGGTCGGGGGACGGCGCAGACATCGCAGGCAGGACAGCTGGCCCCGGGACGGCTGGGCTCCAGTATCCCCCATACGCCCAGCTGGGTCCCCGTCCCCACCGTTGCAGTGAGGGGGTGGCGGGAAGACCCCTTGGCACAGCCCCCAGAGCTGCACGTAGGGAGCGAGTCAGGACAAAAACAAGCAGAAGGTGCTCTTTCCAGCCTGCCCCTCGACCCCCGCCCCCCATTCACACACAACCTCCATCTTCATACCGCATCCCAAAATCCCAAAGTGCTCCCCTGGCGCGGGTGCCTGGGTTCCCCGGGATGTCCGTTCCCTCGCCCTGCGAAGCTCCCCTGGAGTATTCTACAACGGGTGCACTAACAGTAAATTTACCACCGACGAAAGGAAAAGAGAAGATGTTTTATTACCACTCTAATTATTACTAGCATATGACACCAAGAGGGAGGGATACACATTAAAGGCTACAACACTCTGGTGTCAAGGTCGTTGCCAGTATTGACAATGTCGTCCTCCAGTGCATTTTCCATGTCCTTGTCATCTCTGGTCAGTTCTTAGCTGGGCTGGCTTCCTTTTCTGAAAGGGAGACTGAAAAGCCTTCCTTCGCTCTGGGGGCCTGAGCCTCGGGGGTGTCTCTCCCATGGACCCCGCTGCTCCCACATGGTGGGGTGTGCAGTGAGGGCATCCAAAGTCTCGCCCGGCGGCCTGCAGTAGCCAGCAGGTGTGCCTCCTGCCGGCCGGGGCTCTGCTGAGACGGTCACATGCGCACCTGCCCTGACTCCACCGGGCCTCTCTGCAGCACGGGCTGCTCTTGTGTGGCAGTGGCCGGAAGAGGAGCCATCCCAGGAGCGTAGGCGGAAGCGGCGTCCATGTCAGGGCATGCCTAAAAGGTGCCTTGTTCTGTTGTCCAGAGCTAAATGCGGGCTAGCCCAGACTTCACAAAAGAAGACCAGCTCCGCTTCCCAAAGGGAGACGCGGCAGAGATTCTACGGTTCTGTGGTCCGGCACAGACACACTCATGCTCCCTGCTTCCACCCCATCTCCATCCTCCTGTCTCCTATCCAGTTCATTCCCAGCGCCTGGCCCTGGACAAGGGCAGAACGATAAGGTCTTTGGCCCTGCTGGTGAGGGGGCTCAGGACCCTCACAGGGAAGAAGGACCCAAAGCTACAAAGTGCCGGGAAGGGTAGTGAGGCAGGAGGTAGAACAGGAAAACCTGAGACCCCATAGCTGTCCTCAGTCCGCATCCTGGTTTCCGAAATTGCCTTGTGGCACCTGATAATAATTAGCACATGGTTTCCTCCCTGGGTAGGCAATCAAGGAGGATTGTGGGAAGTCCCAAGTGCAGAAGCCCAGCCTAGGGGTGCAAAGCTCAGGGGGCCAAAGGCAAACTCATTGACTTTGGATTGGTAATGTATAACCAAGTGTACAGAGTGAATGGAATTAACAAATAACCAGGTGAAGAGAGGCCCTGGCTCTGGCAGTGCCTGGCAGGACTCTGGGCAATCAGTCACCTGAGCACCAGGCCCTCCCTGCAGTAGAACTGCCCTGGTGCCACAGGACTTGCTGGGGGGCACAGCGTGCTTTCAGGCAGGCTGGGAGCTGGTAGGGAGCCAGATGCAGCCTCGTGGTTGTGGAGCCACTGGATTTGCCTAGGCCAGTGGCTTCTGGCCTGGTTCCCTCTTCCTTATCTTGTGGTCACTGCGCCCTACTCAGCACATCAAATGTCTCGTGGCACAGTGAGGCTGCCAGGTGTGAGGAACCAGTTACCCAGGAAGGCTCCCTCTTTTTGGTTGGAAACCTCCAAGGTGTGTTGGGAGCCTTGCAATGACTCTCTGCTCCCTCTTTCCCCTCACCCCACCTCCTACTGCTGCAGATGGAGACAGGGGTCCATGTTCTTGGTGGTCGCCAACAAAGAATTGGACCGACCACACAGATATTGTAAAGCAAAGCAAGCAGAAACTTACTAAGGAGAGTACCCGAGCCGGCTGATTGCTGGATTTCGACATGAGACAGTGCCGTGAGAGCAGGAAAAGGTGACTCTCGCCTCAGAATCCAAACGGGCTTCTTGAGAGTGGGTGGCTGTGGTCTGCCTCCCATGTGGCGGGCATCCTTGGCATGCAGTCCATCCTCCCGTCCTCCTGGGGACGGCCTGCACCCCGAACAAGTCACCTCAGTGAACCCTCCCAGTTTCCATGCACTGTGGTCAGGGGTGGACACAGGGCCATGTCAGTGTGACCCCCTTCTGCTGGCCTTGAGGTTTCCGTGCTGAAATCTCTTTACTTTCTCTGCACCCCAATTTCCACAGTAATCACCCCAAGATGCCATAATCATCTTGCTGGAGCATTTCATTGGCTGACTATTGCTACTACTTACTCTAAATACTGTCTTCTTAGTTTGTTTCTATGGGGTTGGCCAACAAGTTTGTTTGGTTTTTTCCCCAAGGATGGCTCTAGTAGCACTTGTCTTCAGTTGCATTCAAAACAATTTTGTTAGATTGCATTGTGATAGCTGTCATATCAGTGTGCATTTTAAAGAAACATCAAAATTAATGAGTTTTTGTGTAGCTATTTTAATATTAAAGATGGAAGGAAATACACAGTTTTGACCTATTATGCTCTATTATTTCAAGAAAAGTAAAAATGCAACTGAAATCCAAAAAAAGATTCATGCAGTGTATGGAGAAGGTGCTGTGACTGATCAAACATGTCAAAAGTGGTTTGTGGCCCTGGCTTGTGTGGCTCAGCGGATTGAGCACTGGCCTGCAAATCAAAGGGTAGCAGGTTCGATTCCTGGTCTAGGGCACATGCCTGGCTTGCCAGCTGGATCCCTAGTTGGGGAGCACGTGAGAGGCAACCAACCACACATTAATATTTCTCCCCCTCTCTTTATCCCTCTCTTCCCCTCTCTAAAAATAAATGAATTAAATCTTTTTTAAAAATTGTTTTAAAAAATGGTTTGTAAAGTTTTGTGGTGGAGATTTCTCACTGGATGATGCTCCATGGTCGGGTAGACCCATTGAAGTTGATAGCAATCAAATCGAGACAGTAACTGAGAACAATCAACGTTTTACCATGTGAGAGATAGCCAACACACTCAAATATCCAAATCAATAAGGTTATTGGTGAAAGTGAAGAATATGTCTTTTATTTTTACAGGAAAAACTAAATGGACTTTTTGACTAACCCAATAAATCTCTAGGAAACTTTTTTTAAAAAGACAGAGGTAGTCAGTGTTAACCTTGTCTTTTTATTCTTTATTTTCTACACTTCGACATCTCGGAGGCCTTTCTGACCCTGGAGGGACGGCCCCTCCTGGGACTAGTCAGTTCCTAGAGACAGGAGCAGCGCTGCACCGACCGCGTGCAAACCAGCCACGCGGGCCACTCACACCCTAGCACCCGTCCTGGAGCTGACTCCAGCCAGCACCCCTCCGCACGGACCGCCCCAGAGCCGGCTGGAATTAGTCAGACTGGTACATCCGAAACCTGCCTACCCTCTTCCCCTGTTCCTTCAGGCACCCTCAGGCTCTGGCCCACACCCAAGACTGACCTGGGGCTTCCCCACGTGGCCCCCAGTGGCATGGAGTGCCCCTTCCTCTTGGGAACTTTGTGCAAGGAGCTGCCTTTTCACAATAGCAGCTGTCTCCTCATCTATTGGCTTTGCCATATCTGAATAATAACAAAGCCCACATTTTAAGACAGTCTAGAAAAGGGGGCAGGGAGCCCCTCATTACTCGGAGACCCAAAGCTTTTGACAACCCGAGTCTGGGCAGCCCTCCTGCCCCCCTCCCCCCAACCACTCTTACGGAAAGCCAGACTCAAGACACGATTCAGGGAACGGAGTAAGCCTTTATTCACACGCGCGGGCTCAGAGGAGGCAGTCTCCAAATTCTGAGCCCTGAATCGGGGTTAGATAGGGGTTTATAAGCCCTAGCATTCCGGCAGGAAACGGATGGGCTTCCCAGGTGGGGGAAGGGATTAGCATTCAGGTGGGAGATTGATGAGATTGATGTGCTACCCAGGCCGGGGAAGGGATGTGAAAACGGGCTACAGGAACAGATAAGCAATGATTAACAGTTAACCTGGGAGGGGTCTCTGGCTAGGCTGCTCCTCTTAAATCATCTTGCTCTTATCACCACGAGGCAGCCTAAGTTGTGTTATAAGCCCATCCAGCCTGTGTTTCTAGCTTCATTCAAGGACA